CTCACCTCATTTGTCCCGCAGGCTGTTTCTCTAAGAACAGGGTGAACTTCCTACAAGAAGATGCTAACGGGCGGAGACCAGCTCTAGGGGTAATAGATGCTTGTGAAGAAAATAACAGACCATTAAAGGGCCGCCGCTCCGAGGAGCAAGAGGGTCTGGGCTGCGGTCAGAGGTGCTCTCTGCATGCACAGGGGCGCCCAGCTTTTCCACGAGGACGGTCTGCACCACGCGCCGATGGGCACCTGCTTACCCTGCTCAGCGACGCGCCGATGGGCACCTGCTTACCCCGCTCAGCGAGGCGCCGATGGGCACCTGCTTACCCCACTCAGCGACGGGCCGATGGGCACCTGCTTACCCCGCTCAGCGAGGCGCCGATGGGCACCTGCTTACCCCGCTCAGCGAGGCGCCGATGGGCACCTGCTTACCCCGCTCAGCGACGGGCCGATGGGCACCTGTTTACCCCGCTCAGCGACGCGCCGAAGCTTGTTCCTCTTGGTGCACAGACACCGCCTCCGGCCTTTTGATGCGTGAGGAGGACCCCGCGGTGTGGGTCTCACACTGGCTTCAGCCGCTCTCTCGTTGGGCATTAGGTGGCTTCCAGCCTTTAGCTGTGACGATGGGGCCGTGACAAGCGCTGGAAACGGCTCGCACACACAGACCCCAGAACGCCTGGAAGCCGGAGCGGTCAGAAGGCGGGCGGGCGTGCTGTGACACGTTAACAATGTCACTGTCCTCGCTAATGCTGGTGACAGGAACTGACCCCCATGGGCGTCGCCGTGTGTCCCGGCCGTTCTGACAGCGCTGTGGCCTGTGCCGGAGGCCGTGGCAGACCCATCGCACAGGCGGCCTTCCAGGTCAGCAAGCGGGAAGTGAGTTCTCCGGGTAGCTGAATGTGCGTGCCTAGCGCCCTGCCTGGGAACGAGCATATTTTGATGTTTTGAAAACATTCACACTTCCTTTTCTGTGACTAGTTTTTCCTGAATTTGGGCCATTTCCCTGCCGGGGTGCTGCCCTGTTTCTTAATGTTAAAAGCCTTTGCGATATGAAGAAATCGGTCTTTTTATCACATGTGTTGCAAACGATTTCCCCCAGTTCGTCCTTTATTTTCTTCTTGAGTCTGTTAATAGCCTTTTGTTTTTGCTGCAAAGCACTTGTTATTTTATTTATTTATTTGTTTTAGAGAGAGGAAGGGAGAGGAAGAGTGAGAAACATCAACGATGAGAGAGAATCATCGGCTGGCTGCCTCCTGCACGCCCCACACTGGGGATGGAGCCTGCAACCCAGGCCTGTGCCCTGACCGGGAATTGAACCGTGACCTCCTGGTTCATAGGTTGATATTTAACCACCGAGCCACACAGGCCGGGCTACAGGCATGTATTTACTGACATTTTCTTCAATGCAGCGCTCACACCCGGAAGTTCAGAAGCACTCGTTTCTCTTTTATTTCCTCTTTTGGGGGAAGTCAACCCCACATCGTCGCCACCTTTGCTCCCACGTCCTCGAAGCTCCCTGCTCGTCAGCGGACCAAACACACAAAAGGAAAGCCGCACCCTGGCCCTGCAGCGCCGTCCCCAGCGGCACCGGAGCCGGGCGCGCTCAGCCCAATCGTGGGCCTGGCCTGGCGGACGGCTGGTGTGACTGCCTGGCGGGCGGGTCCGTCTGGGCTGCCCGAGGCCCAGGAGGTACACCCGGAGGAAGGCTGTCCTGGCCCGGCACAGGCTGCTCACCCCTCTGTTGTGTAAGCACTGGGAGGGGGTGGCATGGCCACTCTGCATGGGGCCAGCAGCTGCCCTGCCTGTGACCATGGGCTGCGCCACCCCCTCCAGGGGGCACTTTAGACGGAAGAGAACACCCCTTGAAGAAGAGCATTTGTATTGTCTGCATAAACCCTGACCTGTCTTCCCTCCGCCCACCGGGGCTCTGGGGTTAGAGAGACAGCGGAGAGGGTCCCGTGAAGGATGCGACCAGGTGAGGCGGGGGAGTGACCACAGCTCAGCGCTCAGTTCTGGGAGCCGCAGGCGGAGCAGAGCCAGGAAACGGCGTGAGCAGCCCCGCCCCCCGCCCCTGTCACTCACCCTCCACTGAGCAACACCCATTATCCTGGCTTTTTAAGAAATCCTTACTTAATGGTATTTTTTCCATTGCTTTTTAGAAAGAGTGGAAGGGAGGAATAGAAGGAGAAAGAGAGAGAGAGAGAGAGAGAGAGAGAGAGAGAGAGAGAGAGAGAGAGAGAGAGAAAGAGAAGCATCAATGTGAGAGAGACACGTCAATTGGTTGCCTAACACACACACCTGGATCAGGGCAGGAGGATTGAACCTGCAACCCAGGTACGTGCCCTTTACCAGGAATAGAACCCGGGACCCTTCGGTGCGTGGCCCGATGCGCTAACCCCTGAACCACGCTGGCAGGGACCATTGTCCTGACTTTTAACACCATAGTATGATTGACCAACAAGGAGGGCTCCAAGGTCACGGATATGCCTGGGCGGTGACGGTCCACAGCTCCGCCTGCAGGGCAGGTGACCCTGGCCCGGCTTGAAGGGGACGTGCAGGCTGTGGGGGAGAGCAGCTTTGGCACTGGCCCCCGGAGCTGTGTGACACGGGCACGTCACTCTCAGAGCCGGAGAGAGCATCCCTGCTGTCTGTGGGCACCACTGCTGTCCTGCAGGGACTCCGGCAGCAGCCCCGTGGGAAGCCCTGGCACAGGGCCTTCCCTGACCGAGTGCCCTGCACAGGGGGACGAAGGCCACCTTCCCCGGGGCCCCCGGTTTCCGGGGCCGAGCTGGATGCCGCCCCTGCGACTGGACAGGTGACTCAGCTCTGAAGCTGCACCGTGGGCAGCAGCTTCCCGCGCCCCTCCCTGTCCCCAGGCGCCTGTGTTGGCAGCGCTCCCGTGCAGACACCCCCACAGGGAGCTCGCCTCCCCGCCAGCTTCCTTCCTGCTTCCTGGGACCGGAGGCGGCGGGTCCCTGCCTCCCCCGCTCACAGGTGAGGAGCTGCAGACCACAGAGGACAGGGCCTTGCCCAGGGCCACACAGTGTGTCACCCGAGTCTGTGGCAGAGCCCAAGGCCACGGTCCCACCCTCCAGGCTGGAGACAGCAGGAACCTAAACAGAACTTTAACAAAGGATAGTATTCCATCAATGCCTATATTATTAAAATACTAGTGGCTCGGTGCACGGATTAGTGCACATTGAAAGGAAATTAATTAGAAGAAATATTTTAATATCGCTGTTTATCCTTTCTCTATAATAGAAGTGTCAACCAAATTCACAATCAACAGTGACAGATTGAAACACACGCATGCAATTGGCGCCAGTGAGAGCTTTATATGTACCGTGCATGCGCGAGTCAATGTTTATTTTTAAATTTCCAGTGCATGTCATATGTCCTGGCTGGTCAGTCAGTCGGACAGACAGACGGTCGGTCAGTCACTTAGCCTTTTATATATTAAAATATAACACACAAACCATAAAAGTCACAGCATACAGTTCAGTGGCTTTAGTGCATTCACAGAGTTGTGCAACCAGCACTAGACCATCACCCTCCCAAGCCCCTCCTCAGCCCTAGGCAACCGCCAAATGGACTGTCTACAGATTTGTCTGTTTTCGACATTTCCTATCAATGGACACACACAATATGTTGACCTTTGTAGCTGACTTCTTTCACTTAGCAGTGTTTCCAAGGGTTATCTATTTTGTAACATGTATCACTTCTTTGTCTTGCATAGTGTGGATAAGCCACACGTTCTGTGTCCTTCGTCAGCTGGTGGACGCTGGGCTGTCTCCACTGTAGCCGCTGGGAGTCATGCACTATGGGCACTTGTGCACGGTCTGAATGTGTCTCCTTTCTCTGGGTGGGGGCCTTGGAGGGAAGTGCTGGGCCCTGGGCCTGCGCTATAATTTACTTCTCTAGGTCCCATTGATGTAAACTTGATCAAAGTACACTTTAAAAGCCAACAGCCTGCCCTGCCTGGCCGGTTGCTAGGTGTTTAGAGTGTTGTCCTGTGGACTGAAGGTCCCAGGCTCCATTCCCAGTCAAGGGCACATACCTTGGCTGGAGGTTCGATCCCTGACCTCGGTTGGGGCATGAGCAGGAAGCAACCAATTGATGTGTCTCTCTCACATTGATGTTTCTCTTTCTCTCCCCCTCCTCTCCCTTCCTTACACTCTTTCTAAAAAATCAATGGAAAACCTTGGGTGAGAATAAAAATGAATATATTCATTAAGCCCGGCTGCTGTGGCTCAGTGGTTGAGCATCAACCTATGAACCAGGAGGTCCTGGTTCAATCCCCAGTCAGGGCACAGGCCCGAGTTGCGGGCTTGATCTCCAGTGGGGCACGTGCAAGGGGCAGCCAATCAATGATTCCCTCTCATCATTGATGTTTCTCTCTCTCCCTCCCTCTCTCTTCCTCTCAGAAATAGCCTATCTAACAATAGACAAACATGGTAATTGACCGTACCTTCGCTACGCCTCCCATTGGCTAATCAGCGGGATACGCAAATTAACCGCCAACAAAATGGCTAATTTGCATACTGCAGGCAGGGTGGGACACCGGGAGCCACCAATCGGGCCCCCGTGTGCCGCCTAAGCCCCAGCCCCAGCCAGGACCCCCGTGTGTGGCCCTGGGCAGCGGGACCCTGCGGCTGTGATTGTGATCGTGATCAGAAACCAGGCCGCAGGCAAGGCAGCACCCTGGAACCCAGGAGACCATCGGGGAGGTCTGTAGGTGAAGCAGCAATCAAGCTATGAGGGGGAGGTTGGGGGGCGGAAGGAGCTACAGGAGCAGCTCTGGCCGAGACTGAAGACTCCCGCCGGAGCGAGGAGCAAAGACTGAAGGCTCCAGCCGCAGCGAAGACTGTGTCCAGAGCGAAGATGGAAGGCGGTGGCCAGAGTGAAGGTCTGGGTCCCGGGTGCCAGAGGAAAACTGGTGCTGGCAGCCAGGGAAAGAAGGCCTATCGCACGAATCTTCGTGCAACGGGCCTCTAGTATTAAAAATAAGTAAATAAAAGCCCACACCCCTCACAAGTGTGGCAGGTCATGGTCCTGTTAGTGGGGAGTCTGAAGGAATGGGGGGGACCCTTTCCAGGGCTAGGATAGGCCCACTTCATGGAGTGTCTGTGACTCAGACACTCCTCCCGCCTGGCCGGGGCCCACTGCTCCCTGACCCTGCAGGGCTGTGTCCTCCACGGCCTCCTGCCTGTTTCCAAGCCAGGACAGTCCCAGAGGAAGTTGGTGACTGGCCCCTGGAGCCTCCTGGCCCCGTGACATGGCCTCGGCACACCTGCCCCTGCCCCGCCCACTGCAGGTGCAGACCGGGGAGTTCAGGAGCCACCAGGCTATAGGGCGGGAGCCAGTGGCAGGAGAGGCCCGCCCCGTGGGCTGCAGGGGATGGGAAGGCTGGAGGCGACGGGAGGGCTGGACAACCCTTGGGACCAGCATGGGTTCCAACAGCTCCTTCGCTCCAGACCGTCCCCAAGAGCCAGAGCAGGAGGTGCTTCTATTCTGCGCCAACAGCAGACAGACCCTCAGTTCTCTGAGTAACTGAATGAGCAGCAACTCACCCAGCTCCGTGCTGCAGTTTCTGCCTGGCGCTGCCCTGCTGCCTGGGGGTGTGTTACTCCTGCTCAGGGACCTCAGCACCTGACCTCAGGGGCACGGCGCCCACGGAAGAGGAGCTCCCGCATGGAGGGTGAGTGATCTCCCGTGCCAGCATCGCGCCCTGGCGTCACTTGTACATTTCACATCCGCACACTGCGGACGCCACAGGGGGAAGGCTTGTTTCTTCTGCGGGACGTTTACCCACGGAAGCCCCCCAGCCCGCCCTGCCGCCCTCAGGAAAGGGAGGGAGAGAGCCGCGTGTTTCGCCGATTCACAGGCTGGGCTTTGTTCACGTGGGAAATAGCCCGTTTCCAAGCGCGTTCCTGTGTGTAGTTTTCAGTTGGGTGTTTTTATATGTGTCTGCACATATGGCATCATTTCATTCCGTAACAATTCCAGAACGTTCTATGAGTTCCTCCGCGTGTTCCGCGTTTAAACAAGTCCTCTTGCCCTAATTAAGTTCATGATGTTCCTGGCGGGTTGCGCTGCTTTTTAAAATAATTATGGGCATTTCCCCTTCTGAAGTTCGCGAGCGTTCCACCAGCTGTGGTGTGGAATTCCTGAGGGTGGTGGTGTTTCTCACGACTTAGTCTGCTCATTCGGGCGATGCCAAATTGGTGTGCAGAGTTTATTTTTAACCGGCTTCTCCTTCATCTGAAAGCACTCAGGTTACTGGTCCATGTGGAACTTAATGAACCAAACTACCAAGCAAGATAGAGGCCGACTCTTAGAGAGCAGCTGCCAGCCTGGGGGGCGGGGAGGTGGTGGTGAAGGGATTGAGCAAAACAGAAAAAATAGAGGGAATTGGTGGACAGGGACAATAGTGCGGTGGTTGCGGGGGGGGGAGGGGGATGGGTGAAGGGGGAGAGGGTACAGAGGGGATACAAGGTGATAGAAAAAATACATACATACATACATACAAACATACAAACATACATGTAATAAGGTTATTCACGCGTTCTGATAATAACTCCCGTAAAAAATACCAGCCTCTCTGAATCTTGCGTCAGCGAGATGAATTAGCAACAACATCACATAGAAGCATTTATTGAGCCTTCGGTGCCCCCCGCAGCGGGCCACGGGCTCACACTGTGACACGTCTGACTCCATCTGTGCTCACGAGGCCCCCGACACGGGACTCGGCCCGGAACGCTCCAGGGAGGCCCCCGTTCCTCACTGCTCCTCGCTCAGTCCTTCCTGCTCGCGGCTCCTGGGAGCGAGAACAGTTTTGGGTTAAACAGCAGTTTAGATGCTAATCTCCTGGCCTGGGAGGGCACCGGCTTTCCCCAAGGGCACTGCGCCGGCCGGACAGCGCCTGCTGGGGCTCTGCGGCTTTAAAGCCATTTCTTTGTGAAAATAAATGCACACAGTACACGATGTACTAGAGGGCGTCCGGGCAAAGCCATCTCCCCCCCATTCCTCCCGTGGGCACCGCAGGTCCCGACTCTGCCTATTCTCCTAGAGATATTTACATTTCATATATATCATATTTCATATATATTATATTTCACAAAAATTTATATTTCACATATATTTATATTTCACATATATTTACATTTCACACATATTTACATTTCACATATATTTACATTTCATATATATATCTATATCCCATATATATTTATATTTCACATATATATGTGAAAGCTTCAAGCAGATAACACATCCCCCCCTTCATTTACACACATGATTGCACATTATGTCTCACTTGGGTTACTTTTTAATTAATATTTAGTACCAAAAACGCTCTTATTGATTTTCGTGGCTGCATAGTACTCCACTGCACGGGGTCCCAGAATGCACTGCACTGTCTGAAGGCGTGCTGCTCAGGCTGTTTGCGGGCAGCAGCAGGGACTACCTCACACACGCGCTGCTCCCACCAGGCCCCCGCGGGGCCACAGGACGCGTTCCCGCAGGCGGAGGCCGGGCCAGAGGTGAGTGGTGCTGTCGCGCCCTGCGGACTGGGCGTGCGACGTCACCTCACAGCAGCCACGCAAACACATCCACAGTGCGTTCTGAAACTGCATTTGCAGCCGATAGGCAACAAAACAATATTTTTTTGTACTTCTGACTTGCATTTTTCTTGTTGTGAGTAATAGTGAGAAGCCTTTTGCATGTTCTATAACTTAATTGTCTGTATCCTTAACATATTTTTTTCTACTGGCATTTTGGGCTTTTTCTTCCAGAACCAGAAGCTATGAAGAGAAACTCAGGGGTATAAATTGTAAATTTTCTCATTTGTCGTTGTTCTTGGTTTAATAGTAAGCAGAAACAACATTCTTCTATTAGCTGAATTAACATTTGTTTTCTTTTGTCTGCTTTTCTCCCCTTCTGAGTTTTGGGTTAGGGTTGGGAGGGATGTCCCACTCAGAGACGATAAAGGGACCATCTACTCTGCTTTTCTCTAGCGCTTTAAATGGCTTATTTTTTTAAATATATATATATTTTATTGATCTTTTACAGAGAGGAAGGGAGAGAGAGAGAGAGTTAGAAACATCGATGAGGGAGAAACATCGATCAGCTGCCTCCTGCACACCTCCCACTGGGGATGTGCCCGCAACCAAGGTACGTGCCCTTGACCCGAATCAAACCCGGGACCCCCCAGTCCGCAGGCCGACGCTCTATCCACTGAGCCACACCGGCCAGGGCTGAATGGCTTCTTTTCATGCGGTCACCACTGACTTCTCTGCACTGATGGACAGGACGTGGGCGATGTGGGCCCAGGGCCCGTTGCTCCCGAGTGACCCCCCTCCCTCGCGGGGCAGGGACGGCCCTTTGTCACCCACAGGCCCCCGCGCTACCTCCGGGGGCGTCAGCTCGGGCCCACTGGTCTCCGTCTGAGCCCCGCCTCCCACGGCTCCAGCTGCCGTGTGTTTCAGGGAGGCTGTTTAGGGAGCATTGGGCCTGGCCCTCCAGCGCCCAGCACACCCTCTGCACAGCCCAGGAGCCCCCGCGGGCTGTGGGCAGGCACAGGGCTCATTCTCCCGAAAAGGCGAACTGCGGTCCTGCCTGGCTGGCCCTGACGTCCGGCGAGGCCGACTGCCACCCAGCACGGCTTCCCCACCTTCTTTCCCGTTCGCCTGGACAGCTCACTTCTCCCTGTGCCGTCGGTCTAGCTCCCAAAGCAATTCTCCGGCATGTTCATTGCGATGGTGCTACTTGTGCAGGTTACTTCAGGGACGATTGACGTCTTTATGATGTTTCGTCTCCTGTCCCACAGCTTGGGGTTCTGAACTCTTTGATCCTGAAAACCGTACGGACGTGCTGTCAGGCTCCTGCCCATTGACCAGGAGGTTCCCCCGCAGTCCCCGCGGTCGCTTCCCGCCGACGCGACGACCTCCGGGCACTGGCCTGGTGGCCAGCCCCGGCCCTGGATGCTGGTCTCACCTGGGTCTCTCTGTCTCTCAGTGGCTGAGTGGACCGCTCGGGGAGCCCCCAACCAGACGCAGGCGGGCGCTGCCCACACCCTGGCGCACCTGCTGCGGGACTCGGCGGAGGGGAGGAACGGCAGCGGCCCCCCCAGGGCCCTGAGGCTCCCGGACGGCACCAGCGCCGCCTGGTACATCCTCACCATCTTCGGCATCTACGCGGTGGTCTTCCTCTTCCGGTTGGCCAGCAACATCCTCCGGAAGAACGACAAGTCCCTGGAGGACATTTATTACCTAAACTTGACCTCTGAACTCAAAAAGAAAGGGCTCCCGAGCAGGGCAGCCAAGTGCTCCACGCTGACCATCAGCAACACAGCCGCCCTGCAGCCCCGCCAGGCCAGCCTGGGGCCCGGGCGCAGGGACAGCGGGCCCCACACCGAGATCTAGGGCACCCCTTGGCAGTCAGGGCAGCCAGGTCGCCACAGAAGAGGCCCAGCCTGCCTGCGGGGGGGTGGGCGGGAGGGGGGGTGCTCTGGGCTTACCTGGACCAGGGGGTTGGGGCTGGAAGGCCACCCTGGCCCGGGGCACTTCCAGGGGTGGCGCTGACCAAAGCCAGCATCCTGTGTCCTTCTCGGGCCGCCTGGAGCTTTGAGACAAGACCGTAGGGGCAGGAGGTCCCGGCCACACTGTCCCTTCAGTAGAAAAGCTTGTGTTCCAGGGAAGGGTTCGGGCAGCCACCTTCTCAGAGCTGGGAGACCCCTGGGGGCCCGGGAAGGTGGCCTTTTGTCATGGAGAGAAGGCTGAGTTTGGAGTCCAGAGGCCTGGATGAAACTTCAACTTTAGGGGTTACAAGAACTTTGGGGGGCTAGTGGCTCACCTGGGATGCGTGGGGGTTGGGATATATGGTCCCAAAGGGTCAGTCATTCTGAAGACCCCAACTGGAATGTAAAACCAGAGTCATTAACATCAGAAGTGGGTGGAAAGTTCTTCGTTTTCATTGAAACAGTGGGGTCCACTGAACAAAAGCATTCGTTTTGGAGTCAGAAGGACCCAACTCTAGTCTGGGTTCCATTAGCCACCACTTGGGTGTGAATCTGTTTCATTACAGATAAAATGAGGGCAATGACGCCAGTTCTTCAAGCCTTCCAAAGTACGTAAGAGCTAATGAGGTCATGCACGTGAATGTATTTTGAAAAGTAAAATAAATACATAATTATAATCCTTGTGTTGTTGGTGTTCGTGGTGATTATAGCTGATACTGGTGTTGGGTTGATTGATGGTGGTGGTGGTGGTGGGAGGTTGATGTAGATGATGGTAGTGGTGGTGAATGGTAGTGACAGTTGATACTGGTGTTGGTGTTGGTGAGGTTGATGTGGATGGTGGTGGTGGTGATGATGGTTGTTGTAGATGATGGTGGTGGTGGTGATGGTAGTGACAGTTGATACTGGTGTTGGTGAGGTTGATGTGGATGGTGGTGGTGATGATGGTTGATATTGATGGTGGTGGTGGTGGTGATGATGGTTGTTGTAGATGATGGTAATGGTGGTGGATTGTAGTGACAGTTGATACTGATGGTGGTGGGGAAGTTGATGTAAATGGTGGTGATGATGATTGATGTTGATGGTGGTGGGGAAGTTGATGTAGATGGTGGTGGTGATGATGGTTGATACTGATGGTGGTGGGGAAGTTGATATAAATGGTGGTGGTGGTGATGATTGATGTTGATGGTGGTGGGGAAGTTGATGTAAATGGTGGTGGCGATGATGATTGATGTTGATGGTGGTGGGGAAGTTGATGTAAATGGTGGTGGCGATGATGGTTGATGTTGATGGTGGTGGGGAAGTTGATGTAAATGGTGGTGGCGATGATGGTTGATGTTGATGGTGGTGGGGAAGTTGATGGAGATGGTGGTGGTGGTGATGGTTGATACTGATGGTTGTGGGGAAGTTGATGTAAATGGTGGTGGCGATGATGATTGATGTTGATGGTGGTGGGGAAGTTGATGTAAATGGTGGTGGTGATGATGGTTGATGTTGATGGTGGTGGGGACGTTGATATAGATGGTGGTGGTGCTGATAGTTGATGCTGAGTGGTGGTGGTGTTGATGGTTGATATTGATGGTGGTGGTGATGATGGTTGTTGTAGATGATGGTAGTGGTGGTGGATTGTAGTGACAGTTGATACTGATGGTGGTGGGGAAGTTGATGTAGATGGTGGTGGTGATGATGGTTGATGGTGATGGTGGTGGGGAAGTTGATGTAGATGGTGGTGGTGATGATGGTTGATACTGATGGTGGTGGGGAAGTTGATGTAAATGGTGGTGGTGATGATGATTGATTTTGATGGTGGTGGGGAAGTTGATGTAAATGGTGGTGGTGATGATGGTTGATGCTGATGGTGGTGGGGAAGTTGATGTAAATGGTGGTGGTGATGATGGTTGATGTTGATGGTGGTGGGGAAGTTGATGTAGATGGTGGTGGTGGTGATGGTTGATACTGATGGTTGTGGGGAAGTTGATGTAAATGGTGGTGGCGATGATGATTGATGTTGATGGTGGTGGGGAAGTTGATGTAAATGGTGGTGGTGATGATGGTTGATGTTGATGGTGGTGGGGATGTTGATATAGATGGTGGTGGTGCTGATAGTTGATGCTGAGTGGTGGTGGTGATGATGGTTGATATTGATGGTGGTGGTGGTGGTGATGATGGTTGTTGTAGATGATGGTAGTGGTGGTGGATTGTAGTGACAGTTGATACTGATGGTGGTGGGGAAGTTGATGTAGATGGTGGTGGTGATGATGGTTGATGTTGATGGTGGTGGGGAAGTTGATGTAGATGGTGGTGGTGGTGATGGTTGATACTGATGGTGGTGGGGAGTTGATGTAGATGGTGGTGGTGGTGATGGTTGATGCTGAGTGGTGGTGGTGGTGCTGATGGTTGATATTGATGGTGTTGAAATTATATTAGGAAGTTTAATCAGCAGAAGCAAGTCAGTGGGACCCAGCGGGCAGCCAGGCTGTGCTCCCGCCGGGCTGGATGTGTCCGGACAAGGGTCGGTGAGGCTTTGTGCGCGAGGACAGAGGACAGCTCTGCTCCGGGAGAGGCGCAGGGGAGCAGGTCTGGCCCCCTTGCAGCCCGAGTTCCTGAAGTCCACGCGGGAGTCCTGAGGCTGCTTCCGTCTCAGGCAGCCAGGTGTGGCTTCCTCCCTGGGGAAGAACCTGAGTGTCTGGGCAGACAGGCCCACACCTGGACCACACCACGGTGCTGTGGGGAAGGGGGATGGAAGCAGGTGGGCAAGCGGGTGCCCATGACGGTGCCATAGGAAGAAAGCAAACATGTACGAACACTACCAAGTGCTAGGACGCTGGCCAGCGGAGCTGATGCCCTCACACGCTCCATGGGGTGGCAACATTAGGGAAGTGAGGCCCAGAGCGGCGAAGAGAGCGGCTCATTGTCACACAGCCGGCGGGAAATTCAAAGCTTGATCCATCAGATCCCAAAGTTCCTGTGACATTCCCATGAATACACTGCTATTTCCCTGCAAGGTGAGGAGGGGGAGGGCAACCGCTCGGGCTCCGTGGGTCTCTCTCCTTGACATTCTGTGTCCCAGCAGGAGCCCAGTGCCCGGGCAGGGGGCCAGAAGATCGGAGCTGTGCACACAATGGCCAGAGTGGAGGGTGGCCCCTGGCCCTGCCATGGCTCTGGCCTCGGGAGTGGGGTCAGGAACCTGACAATGCCCGAGCCCAGATGGCTGAAAGAAACACCTGGGATGCCTCCCACGCAACCGGGTCTGCGGAGACCCAACTGGCACACGCACACGCCTATTCGCATGTGTGGCAACTGCTTCCATTTTATTTGTGCGGGGGTACCCCTAGTTCACAAATATCCCGTCTGATGGCTGGTCTGTGCGGGGCAGACGACCGCCCAGCAGAACTGCAGCCAGACCTGCTGTTAGGGTGTCTGTCACTGCATCTTGGGATGAGGGAAGCATGTCAGTGTCCCTGTAGAACACGAGCCACTGGGCAGGGAATGAACGAAGAGCAGAATGTGCCCGAGGAGAGCAGTCCGAGAGGAGGGCCTCCCTGGGAAGCGGTGGGTGTCCTCTGGGGCTGCAGGGCTCTGGCTGGGTCAGGGAAGGAGCTGAGGTGTTGCCTTAAGTCATGTGGAGACAGGGCCACACTGTCCCCTGGCGGTCCTTCCTCACCTCGACTCCGAGGTGGGAGGTGACTGGAGGAAGCTGGTTCGCATCCAAGGAGGCAGGACAGGAAGAGGAAGGGCTCTCGAGGTTCTGGCCTCCAGTGCAATGGTTTGCTTCTGTCCAGGCCCCGCGCTGCGGCCGAGCAGGCCACCCTGGTCCCACCCAGGCGCTGGCCAGGCCTCTGCATCGTCTCTGCAGGGGCGGCTGCTGGCCGGGCACCGAGTCCCCTATCAGTTCCTCTCAGGCCCCAGGGTTCCAGCCACCACCTCCAGGGCCGGGCAAGTGCCCTTCCCCCTGCGCTCACAGCAGCGGGAAGACCTGGGGGACACAGGGAGGAGGCACCATCTACAGGCCATGGAGAGGCAGCGGGCGAACCCCGAACCGCCAGCACCTGACCTGGGACCCCCCCCTCCCCCAGGACTGTGGGAAAGTGACCCTGTCTAAGCCAAGCAGCCGGCGACACTGTCACGGCAGCCCTGGCAGACGAACAGCTGCCCATCATGCCGGCCTCAGGCAGAAGCCACACACACATCTCCCATGGGGGACGTATCATGTCAGCCAGAGGGAACTGTTCTGAACGTGTCCCGTGATGTTCTCACATCCCAGTGTGTCCGTGGGCAGGCCCAGCAGGAAGGCCCTTGTGAGGTCATCGCCCTGGCGTGTCCGTGGGCGGGCCCAGCAGGAAGGCCCTTGTGAGGTCATCGCCCTGGCGTGTCCGTGGGCGGGCCCAGCAGGAAGGCCCTTGTGAGGTCATCGCCCTGCTCCGGGCAGAACGCACAGAGGGAGACGGGGGGGCGCCATGCCCCGCTGTGCACACCCTCTCTTTAGAAGCATCGTCATCAGGAGTCCGTTTGACAGCATCAAGAGGAAACAATGCCTCCAGTACCTGAAGACGCTGAGAGCGCTGCAGTTTGACGGGTTCACGACGGTGTACCTGGGGGAAACAGAGATCCCCGAAAGCCTGGCCACGGGGGAGGACTTCAGGGGCGAGCTCTGCGTGCCGAGTCCGAGCTGGTGCGTGGTGCACGCGGGGGGCAGCCAGGGCTGGGTGCCGTGGCGGTACCGGGTATTCCTGAGAGACGAGCTGAGCGTCCGCCCGGAAGACGGCTTCTTCGCCGAGTTCTGCGAGGTGGTGAGGAAGGCCTACGGGAAGTGCGCCATCGTGGTCAAGGACGCCCGGCGGCCGGAGGCCAGGCCCAACGAGGACGGGGAGCCCCAGGCCCGGGCCCGTGCCCGGTCCGTCGTCAACCTGACGAGCATCGCCTGCTGCCCCGACGTGGCCAAGGCCTGTGGGCACGAGCTGCTCTGCCTGCCTCCCCCGTACAACTACCTGAACCCGCTGGACCTGGCCTGGTCCGCGCTCAAGTGGTTCATCATCAACCACAGGAAGGAGTTCTGCCTGAAGTCCATCGACAGCCTCTACACGTACCAGTTCCTCCTCCTCAGTGACCTCATCAGCAAAGGGATGGAGAGCGTCGGCCCCAGCAAGTGGAGGACCCTCATCAACAAAGTGCGCAGGTGGGAGAACTACTACCTTGGCAAGTTCTCTTAAGGGCGCGTCCTCGCCGAGCAGCCAGGCTGGGCCCAGGCACCGTCGCGGCCCACGGCCTCCCTGGGCTCGACTCCGGACCACGGCAGCCACTGGTACTCCCACGGCGACCGCGCAGGGACGCCACGAGGACTGCGGTTCCCGGGGGCGTGGGCGAAGGGCTTCGGCTCAGTAAAGCGTCCTGGTAGCTGAGGGGTCTGGACTCCTGTGTTGAGGCGGCTTTGAGGGCTGGGCCAGGGGCGGACGGGGCAGCTCAGCTCAGGGGGCCTGGGGAGCACGGTGAACGGAGCTCAAGACTGTGCTCAGCGTGTAGGTCTCAGAAACACGGAGGAGCGAGTGCAGGCCCCAGGAAGTGTGCCCACCCGTGTCCGGCCCCAAATGACCCACGGAGCCAGCCGTGCTCCTCTCCTCCTCTGCTCAGAGGCCGGTCCCCTGCCCACTTTGCTCACCTGGAGCCAGGCCGCGGAGGAGTGGGGCCCGGAACTCGTGTTGGGTGGTTTTGCTTTTCAAACAAGAGCAGCTCTTGCTGGTGCATCCTGCTCACCTGCTCACCGAGAAAGCCTTCCGTTTTCCCACCGCAAACCCGTCTTTAAGGGTCTTCCGCCTCCTGCTGTTCTGTGTCGACACTGATTTCTGTGGTGGCAGTTTTGCCAGTTGTCTGGTCTGATGTCAGCTGAGCCTCATGCCACGTGAACCGCAGGGGTGAAGAGAACACACAGCCGCCCTCGGACCTAAGGAATGCGCCGCCTGCCGGCAGGAAGGCACCGAGGGCCTGCGGGTCACGGGACCGAGATGGGACTCGAGCTTCAGCTGATTGACTACGGGGCTCCCTGAGGCCCTGAGGGGCGAGGGCTCTGAAACGCTGGCACCGGCCGCCCCGGGTGCCTGGGCCTCGATACACGGTGCCCCTGCCCGACGAGTCCGGGCTCAGCGTGTCCTCCTTCAGACCTAACACCGACCTCCCTTCCTGTCTGCTCCTTAGGGAAACCCTCCCTGTGCCCCGCAGACACGCTGCCAGACACTGAGCAAAGGACACTAGTTCTGCCCTTGACACCAGCGGCAGGAAGTCAGGGAGTTCATCGCGGGCGGGCGGGCGGGCGGGGGAGATGGCGGTACAGCCCCATCCCTTTCGGGGCAGCCACGCACGGTGGGTGACGATGACAGCAACCCCACGGATGTCCTCCCGAGGTTGGCTGACAGAGCCCGGGCATCCCCAACAACCGCATCCCACGGCCTCCCGTGGGCCAGCGCGACCCGAGGTGACGGCAGTGCCGCCCTGGAGGCCGCTGCCCTGGCCTTGCCCACCTGGGGTCCAGGCTCCACTGGGTGGAGGGAGCCAGGCTGGCCAGTGGGGCTGCCGCCGCCCAGGCATGCTCTCCTCTCCTTCTTCTCATTGTTTCACAACCAGTTTTACACACGTGACCTCCTTCAGCCAGACAAGCCCCTGCACGCGGCAGGGCAGTGAGCACGAACGAGCTCCCTCCACGGGGGGCCCGGCTGTGAGGAGTGGAGACCTACCCACAGCGCTTCACACGAAACAGGAGGAGCCCCACCCCCACCCCCACCCCCACCCTCACCCGACCCCACAAAGTGGCCGTTCACGGCTAATGACGGATCCCTGGACACCAGGAACCAGGGCCCGTCTCTACTCCCGTCTCAGACTTGGTCCCTTAACCATCACTTCACTGTCCGACTGGCTGGGCAGTAAGGCCCGCAGGCCACGCCACCCCTACCCCGTGAGCGCACAGCCTCTGCCTGCCTCAATGAAAGCACCAAGGGCCAAGTTCCTGGGAAGAGGAGAAAACGGGAGGAGGGCAGCAGGTCAGAGGGCAGAGGGTGAGGGCGTGCAGCGGAGGCTTCCTCCCCACAGCGTGGCCACTTCTACAGCCCAGCCCTGGGGGGGGACAGGGGGGGAGAGAACCTACAGCAGCTGTGGGTTTGCAGAACTCCCTGCCGCACAGCACAGGGTGTGCGTGTGAGGGAGACAGACAGACAGGGACACGGACACACACACACACACACACACACACACACACACACCGGCCGATCCCAAAGACCAGAGACGCCTCTGTCCAGGTGTTTACTTTACTAGAGAAAACACAGGTTCTTAAAGCCTCTGCCAGGTCCCATCACTTTAGTTCCGCTGCAGCTGGGAGTTACCCGCGGGAGTTTCTTCTCCTCGGCCGGGTCCACTCTCCACGTGGCGCCGTGTGGTGCGTCTAGGGGAGAGGGCCGCCGTGTGGAGCAGCGTCTGGGGAGAGGGCCGGTGGGAAGCAGGAGCCGTCTGATGAGCAGCGCGGACGCCCCACTCGCTCAGCGCAGTGCTCATGTGCAGCCACTCTGGCTCAGACACCACTGAGCTCATCCTATATAATAAACAGCTAATATGCAAATGGTTGTCACGCCCTCACGCCAGGGCCGGGGGACCTGAGGCTGGGCCGGGGGACCTGAGGATGCGCCGGGGGACCTGAGGCCGTGCCCCCCCACCTAGCAGGGCTTGACGGGGGTGGGGCTGGCCAGGTCTGGGTCTCACGCAATTTTGAGGGGCACGTGGGTGGGCGGGGACTTGACTCTGGGTCCCACAGTGCACCCCAGACTCTGACAGGAGGGAGATTTTCATACACATTTTACTAATTTTTGTTCATTGCTGACACTTCTATTATAGAGAAAGGGCAAATAGCAATATTAAAATATTTCCTCTAATTAATTCCCTTTTAATGTGCACGAACTTTGTGCACCGGGCCACTAGTCTCTTATAAACGTACTTTCTTTTTTTCATTTTCCAGAAAAGGGTTTCCGCCCATACTTTCGGTATCATGATTTTCTTTCTTCCCAAACCCCCAGCCCTGAGCTCAGCCATCAGGCCCCCCTCCCCGCACCCCCCAGCAACTGGTGTTCGAGGGAGGGAGAAGTGTGACCGACCTCCCCCTTCTCGGTTCCCCACAAAACTCAGCGCATGTTCTGTGCAAGCGGCTCTCACCTTTCACTTGGACACGCTCCCTCTTCCCCCACGGGGTCCGGCTCCCGAGGTCCAGCCAATGGAGCATCTCTTTAACAAAGCGGCTCCCACCACAGGAGCTGCTGTGGCCCAGCCACGTGGGCTGCTCCGAGGCCCGGGTCCGGCGGCTCCGAGGCCCGGGTCCGGCTGCTGCAGGGCGGGCAGCAGCAGGGGCGAGCGTGAGCCGGGTGAGGACCCCTGCAGCCACACTTCACCCTGAAGACCCACAGCAGGGCCTCACCAGAGGTGTAGGCGGGCTTCAGGCCTGTGACCCGCCTCCTCCCCACCCCCTCTTGCGCTTTTACGCACCCCTGCAGGTGTTTCTAGAGCGTGCTTCTCCGGGGAGAAGGCGCAGCTTTCACTCGATTCCCCGAGCCCTGTGGCCCCACCCCTCCACCCTGAAGCACCCCGGCCCTCAATGAGGGAGAATCACAGGCTGGGCGGGGACCAACCCCGAGCTCCCGGCTCATCGGGACAGGCATGAGGGTCAGGACTCTCCCCGTCTCCCTGTCTCCCCGAGCGCTTGACAGCTGGTGCGCCCCTCCCTACCCCCCACCCTGCCTGCACCCACCTTAGACCCGAGGGACACGGCTGGGCCGCCCACCTGCATCTCCCACCCGCAAGCCGCACCTGTGGCTCCCTTTAGCGCGCTTTCTTCTCCGACTTCTTCTCCGCTTCCAGCTGTCGCTCTCTGGCTTCCAACTTCTTCCTTTGGTATGCTTTGGCTCCGGCAAATGCCAGGCAGAGAATCAATGTTTTCGCTGCCAAGATGTACAGCAGCAGGGGCACGTGGTCCAGCACCTGGGAAGGAAGAAGCCGTTCTAAACGTGCGACTGTGTGCGACCACGTACGAGGTCCCCGGCCCCACGTCGCTGACAATCCAGCCCAGCGCCGCCCTTCCTGCCAGGCCCGCCCGGGGCTGCAGACTCAGGACCCTGGTCTCACCGCCGGACCCTGTTCTGGAGGTGGCGGGTGGGCCCGCTCTGCGCTGCCACCGGCTGAGTGGCCGGGTGATACCCGGCTGTTCCGAGCATCTGTCTCTCCGCCTGCCCAGGAAGCTGGGCAGCCCTTCCCTCTAGATTCCCAGCTCCAGTCCCCACCATTTCCTCTTGGTTCCCACCACCCATGAGCACTGGCGCAGAAGGTAAAATAAATACAAAAGTAAGGACACCCTGTACGCCAGTTCACACGGAGCTGCAAACACACCATTCACACGAAGCTGCAAACACACCATTCCCACGGAGCTGCAAACACACCATTCACACGGAGCTGCAAACACACCCATTCCCACGGAGCTGCAAACACACCCATTCCCACGGAGCTGCAAACACACCATTCACACGGAGCTGCAAACACACCATTCCCACGGAGCTGCAAACACACCATTCCCACGGAGCTGCAAACACACCATTCCCACGGAGCTGCAAACACACCCATTCCCACGAAGCTGCAACGACACCATTCACACGAAGCTGCAAACACACCCATGCACACGGAGCTGCAAACACACCATTCACACGGAGCTGCAACGACACCATTCCCACAGAGCTGCAAACACACCCATTCCCACGTAGCTGCAAACACACCATTCACACGAAGCTGCAAACACACCATTCCCACGGAGCTGCAAACACACCATTCCCACGGAGCTGCAAACACACCATTCCCACGGAGCTGCAAACACACCCATTCCCACGAAGCTGCAACGACACCATTCACACGAAGCTGCAAACACACCCATTCACACGGAGCTGCAAACACACCATTCACACGGAGCTGCAACGACACCATTCCCACAGAGCTGCAAACACACCATTCACACGTAGCTGCAAACACACCATTCACACGTAGCTGCAAACACACCATTCACACGGAGCTGCAAACACACCATTCCCACGGAGCTGCAAACACACCCATTCCCACGGAGCTGCAACGACACCATTCACACGGAGCTGCAACGACACCATTCACACGGACCTGCAAACACACCCATTCCCACGGAGCTGCAACGACACCATTCACACGGAGCTGCAAACACACCATTCACACGGAGCTGCAAACACACCATTCACACGGAGCTGCAAACACACCATTCCCACGGAGCTGCAACGACACCATTCACACGGAGCTGCAAACACACCATTCCCACGGAGCTGCAACGACACCATTCACACGGAGCTGCAAACACACCATTCCCACGGAGCTGCAAACACACCATTCACACGGAGCTGCAAACACACCATTCACACGGAGCTGCAAACACACCATTCACACGGAGCTGCAAACACACCATTCCCACGGAGCTGCAACGACACCATTCACACGGAGCTGCAAACACACCATTCCCACGGAGCTGCAAACACACCATTCACACGGAGCTGCAAACACACCATTCACACGGAGCTGCAACGACACCATTCACACGGAGCTGCAAACACACCATTCACACGGAGCTGCAAACACACCATTCCCACGGAGCTGCAACGACACCATTCACACGGAGCTGCAAACACACCATTCCCACGGAGCTGCAACGACACCATTCACACGGAGCTGCAAACACACCATTCCCACGGAGCTGCAAACACACCATTCACACGGAGCTGCAAACACACCATTCACACGGAGCTGCAAACACACCATTCACACGGAGCTGCAAACACACCATTCCCACGGAGCTGCAACGACACCATTCACACGGAGCTGCAAACACACCATTCCCACGGAGCTGCAAACACACCATTCACACGGAGCTGCAAACACACCATTCACACGTAGCTGCAACGACACCATTCACACGGAGCTGCAAACACACCATTCCCACGGAGCTGCAACGACACCATTCCCACGGAGCTGCAAACACACCCATTCCCACGGAGCTGCAACGACACCATTCACACGGAGCTGCAACGACACCATTCACACGGACCTGCAAACACACCCATTCCCACGGAGCTGCAACGACACCATTCACACGGAGCTGCAAACACACCATTCCCACGGAGCTGCAAACACACCATTCCCACGGAGCTGCAAACACACCCATTCCCACGGAGCTGCAACGACACCATTCACACGGAGCTGCAACGACACCATTCACACGGACCTGCAAACACACCCATTCCCACGGAGATGCAACGACACCATTCACACGGAGCTGCAAACACACCATTCACACGGAGCTGCAAACACACCATTCCCACGGACCTGCAAACACACCCATTCCCACGGAGCTGCAACGACACCATTCACACGGAGCTGCAAACACACCATTCACACGGAGCTGCAACCACACCATTCCCACGGAGCTGCAAACACACCATTCACACGGAGCTGCAAACACACCCATTCCCACGGAGCTGCAAACACACCATTCACACGGAGCTGCAAACACACCATTCACACGGAGCTGCAAACACACCATTCACACGGAGCTGCAAACACACCATTCACACGGAGCTGCAAACACACCATTCCCACGGAGCTGCAAACACACCATTCCCATGGAGCTGCAAACACACCATTCACACGGAGCTGCAAACACACCATTCACACGAAGCTGCAAACACAGACGCTCCCGCCTGCACTGACCACTTCCTCTGAAGCTAGGTCACGGGCTGCCTGCGGAGTCTGAGGAAGCTGTGACCTAATGGGGGAGGAATATACTGGAAATCAAAAGGAACCGAATATTTCAATTGTTCTCAGCAAACTAAACAGCGAGAACACAAACTCCGAGTGACTGGACAGCAGCTGAGACCAATCACGCCCACAGGCGCGGGCAAGCACACCGGCCAGCCGCTCTGGCAGGAGAACCGAAGTCCTAACTCTTCACAAAATGAAACTTTTACTCCAACACAAGCAGCTTCGCTACTGGTTTCCAGTCCTCCCTCCCTCAGACCCACAGCTAACCTCCCTCCCCTCCCGCTGCAATCCTGCAGGTCCCATTTTACAGACGAGGTTCGGCTGCACGCTTCTAAACCAGCTATTAAACGGCACCTTATTTTACCTCCTGGGAGGAAAAAAACAGTTTGTTGCCATAAATACGCCTCTTGGTATGTTCCTGGGATTTCTAGGTAGCTGAGCCTCACTGATACTGGGAAAGCCGCTCTCTCCAGTTCTGGAAATCTCTGCGCGAACCGTGCAGTCCTGCTGCATCCCTACCCATGTCCCAGCCCCAGCCCCGGCCACGGCCCCGCCATAGTCCCAGCCACGGTCCCCAGAGCTGCCACGCAGGTGCAAAGCAGCAGCTACGGCATGTGGATCCGATGACAGGCAGAGCCAGGAAACCCACTGAGACGGAACCACCACAAACAGACCCGGGGGAGCGGGTCCCTGCTTGCTCTCTCCTTAGAGGTTCCAGAGAGGAGGCGGCAGAGCAGGGCAGCCAGGGTCAAGGACACCACAGGGCTGAAGCGAAGGGTCAGGGCCCGGCCTGCCTCTGGGGCGCTAAGCTTCAGCTGGGTGAACCCCCTTCGATTTCTAACAAATCCCTCCATATGTGCAGACCTTAGGGGGTGACTGAGACAGCTGTGGCGAACAGGCCTGGTGAGCACAGGGGAGGCCCTGCTCCCGGAGTCCTGATCACCTCGTCTGGGGTCCAGGGCTTCTGAGAAAGTGGACCCCTGGACAGGCCCCACGGCCTCCTGAAGCCCCCCAACCCCGCACCCCAGGAGCTGGGAAGGAGGGGTGTGTGCTCCCCCATCCTGCTTCCAGACCTTTCCAGATCTTCTCGCAAGAGAAACCCAGGGATGTTTCGAACAAGGAAATGCTTATAATTGAAAAAAAACAAGGTCCTAAGTTTAAAATACACATATCACATTTACATACATGAAAAAATACACCAACATTGTTCGTAGTAGCTCTCTGGGTGGGATGATGATGCATGATTTCTATCTGACTTCCTACTTTTCAAAGTGTCTACAAGGACATATATTTTAGTGGCTGTCCTGTGACCAACCCCCAGCTAACCCCACCGGCTTCAGGATTTCACATGACACTCAACACACCCTTCTCCCACAGCCGTTCGCCAGCAGGCGACTCTGTGCTGCCCTTGAACCTGTGCTCCCAGCACCGACCCGTGCCTCCCGGGACTCAGGCGTGTTCACTCCCCAGCCAGGGTCAGCTGCACCTGCTGTCACGGGAGATGACTGACTGCAACATGACACGGACGAGTGTGACTCTGTACGGAGACGGTGTCCATGACAACCCAGGTGGATGCCTCCATGCATTTCCACGTTTCAGTTGGAAAAGAAAAACCCACTTGTTGGCAACAGAAATGTAAAGAACAGGGAAGAAGAGCACGCAGATCTGGGGCGACTTCGTATGCAGACGCTCCCGTGACCGCGATCCAACGTAAGGAAACCAGAATGTGAAACCATGGGTCACTCTAAAGGCGTGGGCTTTGCAAGACGAGGGGCCGATCCGAGGCCGGCCGTGGGCCCCTCTAAGGGGGCCTGGCCCCCGCCACGCGCCTGCATGTTTAACTTAAAGCCAAATATGAACTATGATTCCTGCTTGCGTCGACTTCTTCTCATTCCGAATTTCTACCATCAGGGGGAAGAAAACCCCTGAGCCACCCACGTGTAAAAGCGCGCTCACCTCCCAGTTCATGCTGGACCCACGGTGACGTCACTCCTAGTGGACGCAGAGCCGGACTAGCAGTCACTCCTGGTGGACGCAGAGCCGGACTAGCAGTCACTCCTGGTGGACGCAGAGCCGGACTAGCAGTCACTCCTGGTGGACGCAGACCCCGGCCAGCACACGGGAGGAGCTGGGCGCCAGGCGTGCTGGGAAGAGAGGAAACAGGTCGGGGGGGTGGGGGGGGCTGTCCACGACGAGCAAAGAGCGAGCTTCGCAGAGAGGAGGCTCAGTGTCCCCAGCAAGCTGGCCCGGAGCCGGGTGAGGAGCCGCGACCTGGGTCAGAGCCGGGACAGGCGCGGCTTGTTGGGCAGAAGGATCTGGCTGACCTGCTGGGACCGGGAGCACAGCCGCAAGCAGAGGGGCCCTGCCGCTCCCACGGGGACAGGTGCTCCCACTCCACTCACTAGGGACGTAAAAGGCCAGGTCCAAAGTCGGTTCCTCCACCGCTCCTGCCCGGAACCAGAGCTGCTCTGAGGGTGAGAGGCTTTCTCGGGTCCCCTGAGTGTTAATTAAGCGAATCCAGGTTTTTCAAAACTATCCGGAGGGAAGGGAGTACACGACGCGGGAAACGTTGCCTGAGAAAGCCATTTCGGCCTAGACTTCCCGCCTAAAGTGCGGGGCCCGGGGAAGTGGGGCAGGGCGTGACGGGCAGGGACACGGCGGAGCGCAGGACGACTCTGAGGCCTCGCTGTCACTATTTCGAGACGGTGACACATACCCCAGGAGTCAGAAGGCTTGAGCTTGGGATGCAGACACTACACAATCGGGCGACTTCCCTCTTGGGGCCTCGGTCCCATCTGCAAACGAAGAAAGGGGGTGTCGACCGGCCGGGCCCAGGGTCCCTCCTGCTCCTGGAACGTGGAGACGTACAGCTTCGCGCCACGGTGCCCAGCCAGGCTGGCGGCAGTGATGCGCCCACTCATTCAGCCTTCACACCAGCCCGCCGAGGGGAGTTCACCGTCGCCGCTCCAGAGCCCGGGACAGTTTATGAAACACGTCCAGGGTCACAGGCAGGGGGACTGGGACTCAACCCTCCAGTCTGGGCCCACAGTCTCAGCCTGATGGAGGCAGAGAGCTCTGCACTCAAAATCCACACGGATGCTTTTCTTTAAATATACTCACCACTAAAATGAAGAGAAACAGCGGAAAGCCTCATAGGCCTTCAGAATGGAGAAAAGACAAACTTCAGAGATGTTTCATAGAAAACTTTTTCACTTACAAAAGCATCTAAATATAAAAAGTTCAGCTCTGGCCGGTATGGCTGGGTTGGGTGTCGTACTAGGCACTGAAGGGGTTGCCGGTTCAATTCCTGGTCAGGGCACATGCCTGGGTTTCTGGCTCAATCCCGGGGGCAGGAAGGGGCGTGCAGGAGGCGGCCGATTGATGTTTTGCTCCCACATTGATGTTTCTCTCTCACTCCCTTCCTCTCTCTCTAAAAAATTCAAACCTCATCTATTCAAGGTCACAGTATCCTGAAAAGCTGGGCGTTGGCACAAGATAGCCAAGTTTTCCCCATGACTTCTGCAAAGTCAGATAAGCTAGCAACAGGAATTTACACCATAATCTGTTTACGTGTGATTGAAGGTCAGCGCTGACCTTCCTGTGTAAATGGCCCGTTTGTCTTTAAGTAGCAGCAGATTCTGATCTGCACTGAAGTGTTGCTAGAGTTTCCACTTCGAGTAATCTCTGATAATCTCAGGGATTAGCCATGTTGTAAATGAAAACAAAATATTTGAGGTTGTGTACATTTTACTTTTACAACTCCTTTGAGTTGTGTACAAATACAGTAGGTGAGTTTGGCTGTTCCCCACTACATATCTTGATTCCCAAGGTCAAGGACAACAAAGAGGTCCAAAATATTTACAGGCGGAAGTAGATTAAAAAGAACAGCCTGTTGTCTGGCCCTCTGGCAAACATGTACAGCGAGGCCTCCCACAACAGGCATTGGTTCTGCAACTTCAAGCGAAATGACATAAAGTGGACCCCATTTTACAGGAGGCTAATGAATATAAACAAGAGTTAAGTTCCTACGACACCTCATCAATGTTGCAATGAAACAACACTGGACAGAAGGACAGACATGGTTGGAGGAGCTGTTGTACTAGGTGCGCTCACTAGTGCTGTGGCCGTGGACACGGCACCTGGCCCCTCTCAACCCTGGCTCCCTCCGCTGTAAGTCCGCCTTCGGGACTGGAGGAGAAACCCTGGGCACCACCCTCAGCCCACGGTACATAAATGTCAACCATGACGGTCACGATAAAGCCCTCTCCTTCCGCTAATGGGCAGGCCAAGCTGAAGACCATAAACAAGGGACAGCCTGTGAAAAATGTAGTCACTGCAAGACAGCGGCCATGGTCTAGAGACCGCCCAAGCACCAGGAGAGCCGGCATCTGCACTGCACTCCATTCCCGGCGGCACCCAAGGCAGGGCGCGTGACCTGGGGCAAATCGTGAACCTCTCTGAGCCAAAGTGTCCTCATTTTAAAAATCAGAACCCAGCCCTGGCCGGTGCGGCTCAGTGGATAGAGCATCGGCCTGCAGGCTGAAGGGTCCTGGGTTTGATTCCAGGCAGGGGCACATGCCCAGGTTGTGGACTTGATTCCCAGTAGTGGGTGTGCAGGAGGCAGCCGATCCATGATTCTCTCACCATTGATGTTTCCATCTCTCTCTCTCCCTCTTGAATTCAATAAAAATATATTTTCTAAAAAAAATCAGAATCCAAAGAACAATGCTGCAACTCTGGAATTCGGAAGCCTCCATTCTATTCTCTCTGATATCACGGAACCAGAGAGTAAAAACACACTGGCACCTGCCTCGACTTCACGCCTGGAGTGATACAACCCGCGCTCTTTAGGAAACACAGAAGGTCAACCTGCAAACAAGTGTTGGGGTGCGGTGAGGGCGGGAGAGGAGAGGCAGACCAGGGTGGCTCCTCTCACCCTCTGCCTCCATCCACATTGGGGGGGGGGGTCCCCGTCTCCCTCAGTGACATGCTCCCACTCTGCAGGCCTCGCAGGACTTCAGCAAATGAAAGCTGAGGAGGCTAAAAATATCCGGCCCGTGTGCTCTGACTCCATAGGAACACCCGGTGCAATTAGAAACGGGAGGCAGCTGCTGTCTGCAAACGCCAAGCTGGGGACAACGCTGAGGCTCAAGTCAACCTAAGTAGGCAGGCACTTTAAACTCCCCTGGAACTATTCAGCCTTAGCTCAAAACTAAAAAATAGCCCGAACCGGATTGGCTCAGTGGATAGAGCGTTGGCCCCGGGTCCGGGTTCCTTTCCCATCAAGATCCCCAGTGGGGGGCGTGCAGGAGGCAGCCGATGGATGATTCTCTCTCATCCATGTTTCTACCTCTCCCTCTCCCTTCCTCTAAAAAATCAATAAAAACATTTGAACTCATAATGGCTTAGAGAGAAATAGTTCTATTTCCTTTACTGCAAAAATATCCTGATTTTTTTCTTTGGCCGGATTTCTCGAAAGACAGAAAAGCTACTCGCCGATTGTGGCTAGGCCACCTGAAGCGACATGGACAGTACTGCCCGCGACCTACTTCCTCCTGGCGCACCCGGCGGACTCGGGGTGTCCAGGGGGGTCTCCGCTCTGGTGTCTGACCTCCTGCCAGCCTCCACTTAGCTGTGTCCTTAGTCCCAACTTCCCAAGCCGTTCTCCCTCCCAGTCTCCACCCTGCCCACCCCAGCCCCTCACCCATCACCTGAAGGGGGTGCGGGGAGGAGGGGCATCACTTGGCCGACCTCGGGGCCCCACTCCCGGGTCAGCCGGGGTTCCCTGGGCCGCAGGCCTGGGTCTCAGCGACTCTGCAACCCGGCCAGGGTCCTCTCCGACCCCCAAACTTCGGGAGCAACACCGGCCCCGTCACACCCCAGCCCTTCCACTGTACAGGGCGTCCGGAACATGCACTCGTCCCCAAGCCCCTCGGACACCAGCACCCTCTGGCCGGCACCAACCCCGGGCCACGTGCCAGGCTACACGCGGCGCCGGGACAGCCGAGCCAGGGAGGCGGGCGGGCGAGGGCCGTGACCCTCCGGTCCCCACTCGGCGGGGAGCCGGCGCCGCGCGGCCGGGGGCCGACTGGCGGGGATCCAGGAGAAAGCCGGACACCCCCGCGCCACAAAGAGCCCTCGGGCTTCCGGTCAGGACCCCGCAGACTCAGAGGTCATGACTTACAGCTCCAAGTCGCGGGGAGCGCTGCACCGAGTGGGCTTGCAAACCAGGACTCCCACAATGCGGCGCGGAAACTACACGTCCCGAAATGCACCGCTCCGCGCCTGCGCAGTGGGCCTGGGCCGCCTGGGCGGGCTCCCTGGTGCTGCCCCGGGTCGGTTCCGGTTCCGCCCTTCTCCGAGCCCGAGGAAGATGGAGGCCGGAGGGCGGGGCGCTGCGGGGCCGCTCCACCCTCAGCTGCGCCGCCATCCTTGGTGCTCGCGACGGAGGGCCCCAGGCTCCCCAGCAGTTCCCAACTCAGCTTCCATCTTCGCCACCAAACGCGCGGTTTCCTTGGGGACGGCGCGCGTCCCCGGGCTGGGTTCCCGATCCCCCCGTGCGCACCGGGACCGAGCCCGGCTGGACGCAGGGGAGAGGAGCGGCCTGGGCTGGAGAGCGTGGAGAAGCGGGCAGAGCTGGATGGGAACCAGGCGCGCTGCCCCAGCCTCCCTGACACTGTGCGTGCAGAAGCACGAGGGCTCGGCGCGCCCGGGAGAGGAGCGGCCTGGGCTGGAGAGCGTGGAGAAGCGGGCAGAGCAGAGCACAGCAGGCTCCTTAAAGTGGGAGTGCACACTCAGAAGGAGGAGAGGCCGGCCGGTGTGGCTCAGTGGTTGAGCATCAGCCTATGAACCAAGAGGTCACAGTTCAATTCCCCGTCAGGGCACATGCCCGGGTTGTGGGCTCCATCCCCAGTGTGGAGCGTGCAGGAGGCAGCCGATCCATGATTCTCCGTCATCATTGATGTTTCCATCTCTCTCCCTCTTCCTTCCTCTCTGAAATCAATAAAAACATATTTTAAAAAAAACACAAAAATAAAACAAAAACTGTTGTGTAGGTCAATGTAGCTGCTATCTCTGGCTGAGGCCAGTTTTTATTTGTCTCAACTATTGATTGCCCCAGGAAATGGGGAGGGGAGCAGCGAGGGGCCGGTGTCAGCCACAGGTCATATCCACAGGCTCTGACTTAGAAGGGCGGGGATGGAGCCCGGGGCCTCTGTCCCCTGAGCTAACTCTCCTGCCTCTGGAGCGAAATCGCAGCTAATTATAAGAATCGATACCTTGATTATATCTCCCCCTGAAGAGACAGACCCTGTCGCAGGTGGAATACACCCCACAAGCCAGTGCCGGGAAGGAGGGCTCCTGTTCTGAGTTTTGTCTCCTGCCCTGAGACGTGAGGCCCTGCTTGCCTTGCTCTGCCTTGGGGATAGGTGGGGGTGAGGGAGGGGAGGGGGAGCCAGGAGGCAGGGAGCTCCATGCAGCCCGCCCCAGGCATCTGTCTCCCAAAACTCCTACCCCAGCTCCTGAGAGAGGGGACTGTGGCCTTAGGCCCGCCCCTGGCCCTGCTCTAGCTCCGCCCACTCTGTGAGGATCTCTGCTGTGACCGTCAGTTGTCATCATGATGTTTCCGGGTCTGACTGCCTCCCTGCTGGGTGGGTGCCTCCCGCTCAGGGGGTCTCGTCCCCTCTGTTCTGCGGAGGTCAGGCCCGTGACCTGAGTGGACAGACGGCAAAGGCGCTTATGGAATGAATGAGTGAAGGCCCCTAATCTGCGCAGGGCAGACTCGGCATCGGCACGTGAAACGGTCTGACACGCGTGTGATGATCGGGGTGCCCCCCGGCCTCACACTCCGTGATGTGAAGCGATTGCTGTCGAGCTTTGCAACAGACCCCAGCAGCTCAGACACTCTCTGTCCCCTGGTCTTTGCAAACATAAGTAAAGGTAGTCGCTGTAGAGAGAGGAAAAGGAAATTGTGTGAAAAGAAAAGGGTGCTTATAAAGCCATGTCGTGCCTTTATTGCTTTTTCCATACTAAGAAGAAGTTTAGCGAGTTCATTTTCTGCGGGACCGTAAATGACCGTTTAGCAATGTTTGCGTGGGTAGCTCTTCACGATTCTCCCTCCCTGTGGTGGGCTGTCGTCCGACTCCGAGCAAGTTCAATGCCAGGAGAAGGATGCACCTGCTGTCACCCCACGGCCCTGCCGCCTTCATCGGGACTCGTGCTCCGAGTGCATCAATGATGCTCCCGTCAGCCCAGTGACAGGGGGTAGATTCCGAACCTCGGCATCTGGGTCACATCCTATTCACCAGTTGAATCAGCCACATACAACATCACGTGTCGGAGTAAGAAGGCTCGGCGCTTTGCAAATCTCTCCTTTCTACCCCCTGCCACTGCGCAGGCGCTCGGCCTCCACCTGGCTCTATTTCCACCACTGACACCGACAGTGACATTCCCATCGAGGAGGGAAGAGGCCCTCACACAGCACACCACTCCCATGAGCAAGCGCCAGGCACCGACGTGACACGCCGCCTGCCTCGGGACGCAACACGCGTTCTCCCCAGCGTCTCCACAGACAGCGAGCAGCGAGGTGTCTTCTGAGCAGAGAGTTGGGGGGCTCCAGGGTGGGCATCTGGGGTCGGCTCCCTTTCTCGCTTGTCAAGGAGACGGTTTTTTTTGTTTTTTGCTAATCCTCACCCGAGGATATTTTCCCATTGACTTTTAGAGAGAGTGGAAGGGAGATGGAGAGACAGAGAGAAACATCCATGTGAGAGAGACACATCGATTGGTTGCCTCCTGTGCGCGCCCAACCAGGGGCCCGGGCCGGGGAGGAGCCTGCGACCCAGGGACGTGCCCTGGACCGGAATCGAACCCGGGACCCTTGGGTCCGCAGGCCGAGGCTCTCTCCACCGAGCCACGCCGGCCAGGCTCACGGGGACGTCTTGAAGCCCGCCGCGCCGAGGTTCTGGTGGACGGTGGCCCTGGCCTCCTCCAGGCTCAGGATCTGGCTCTTGTACTTCTGCTTCCAGTCGTCCACGATGTACTGGTGGTAGGGGTCGTTGGAGTGCTCCTGCCGCTTGGACTTCACCGTGCTCACCAGGATGGCCACCACGATGAAGGAGAACATGCCGATCATCACCATGAGGTACAGGATGACATAGTAGAAGTTCTCGGCGTCCACCCGGGCCTGCAGCGCCTCCTGCTGGGCGGTCGTGTTCCGGCGCCACGCGTCCATGTACCCGACGAGGACCCTCCTGAAGGCGTCCTCCAGGGTCTGCGTCAGGTTGGCCAGGGCGGGCATGCTGCTCCTGCGCGAGGCCAACGGGGAGACGGACGGACAGTGAAAAGGGGTCCTTTCCTCACGCGGCTGCGGAAGGGATGGACGGGGGGCGCGCGAGGGGGAGCGATACGATTCCTCCCTAGCCTGCTGGTGATGGACCGAGCACACTCGGTTCTTTAAGCTTTTCATGTGCACCTGTTGCATGCATGATATTTGCCAAAAGTGTAATGGGGGACATCACACTGTACAGAGTATGACCCCAACTTATACATGTACCTAGCCCTGGCTGGCGTGGCTCAGTTGGTTGGAGTGTCGTCCCATACACCAGAAGGTGGCGGGTTCGATTCCCGGTCAGGGCACCTACCCAGGTTTTGGGTTCCATCCTCAGTCGGACTGTGTGCAGGAGGCAGCTGATCAGTGTTTCTCTTTCTCTCTCCCCTGCCCTCCGTCTCTCTGAGATTAATAAAAACAAACAAACAAATAAATAAAATATATATGTAATTGAATGTATGCATGCATGTGAAAATGGAGAAAAGACTGGAAATAAATAGTTTGAAATGTTAATAGTGGGTGGAATACTTAAAACTTCTTTTCTTCTTTACACTTTTCTCATGTTTCCGATGCTCACCAATATTCTCGCATTACCTTGCTTTAAGATGGACTATTAACCTCACAGTAGCTAGCACAATGCCTTGTTGTAACAGGCTTTCCACGAGCCTCAGCTGCTACCGTGATGGCCCGGTGTCCCCGTGCTTTAGGGGATTATGGGAGGGAGGCTGCGAAGGGACACTGGCAGGGTCTGGCATGTGTGTCGGACCCTCGGTCCAGGCAGTGCTTTCCCAGGTGCAGCCAAGAGGTGACTAGTACATCCGTGTCTGAAAGACGTGTTTCAGGAGAGGATGCAGAGAAACAGCCCGAGACGCCATCATATTCTCAAACCAGCTCTCTCTGTGCCTCACTGCCTGCCCCCGCCCCCCTGCCACCAGCATCACCTGATGACACCATTCCATGCAACCCAGCCTCCTCCACACCACCTCCTGGCCCCAACGCCCTCTCTGCCCTGCATGCCAATGTCTTCTTTTGTTTGTTTGTTTGTTTGTTTGTTTGTTTGGTTAATCCTCACCCGAGGATATTTTTCTATGGATTTTTAGGGAGAGTGGAAGAGAGAGAGAAACATCAAGGTGAGAGAAGCACATCAGCTGGTTGCCTCCTGCACACGCCCGACCGGGCCCTGGGCCAGGGAGGAGCCTGTGAGGAGCAGGGACCTGCAGGTCCTCTCAGGCCATAAACACCCCAACGACCAAGCGGGGGGTCTGCCTAGCGCCCCCTGAGGGTGTGGTGAGTGAGTGCTCCCCTCCCAGGTCCTGTGCCAGCAACCGAAATCCACGGCCACACCCACCGACCCCCATCTACAGTCCTCTTTTCCCAACGTACCTGCGGGTGGGAAGGAGAGAGAGGGCAGGAGGAGGGTTTGCAGGTCCCTTAAAAAGAAAACCATTTCATGTTGTTTTTCTCCCGGAAAGCGTACATGTGTACATACGAAGCTCTCCCTTCAGTTTCCGGGCCCCCTGGGCCCCCTAAAGCCCATCCTAGAATCTGCAACAAAATACCTCAGTGCGGACGCCCCAGGGGTTTCCAGGTGCGGGCGTGGCAGCGCGCACCCACCCGCCGGCGGACCCTGCTCATTGGTCAGCTCTCCTGCAGGGACACGCTGTCCACCAAGCAGGCCGGAGGTGCTTTCTGATAAGACCCAACCGCAGGGAAAGGCCTTGGGGGTGAGTGCCCGAGAGCGGCCTGGCCAGGCTGGAACGTCCAGTCCCAGGTGGACCCCGTGGGAGCACTGAGCGCGCGGGTGTCTGCTCTGCGAGCCCAGGAAAGGGCCCAGGCACCGCGTGCGGAGGCCGCTTCCCGATGGACACGTGCAAACATGCCAGGAGGGTGCCAGTTCTGACACCCACTCAGCTCCGTGACCAAGGCACTGGCTGTATGTGGAATGCACACTCCCCCTCGAAGGAGAACGCCTAACAGGTCTGGACTTAAGCCATCGTTACGTTCTCTTAAACCGTGCGAAACTGCCACTGACAGGTTAAAATGGCTGAAACTGGCAATTTCATAGGGTGCAGCAGGTATAGGCGGGCCTATGTGTTTCAGATATTTTTACTAAGGATTTCTGCTCCAAAACAACAACAGGAACACCAGGATGGCCCACCCAGGGCGGCTCAGTGGCTGAGTGTTGGCCCGTGAACCAGGAGGTCTCAGGTAGATTCCTGGTCAGGGCACAGGCCTGGGTTGCAGGCTCGGTTCCCCAGGAGAGGGCGTGCAGGAAGCAGCCGGTCCATGCTTCTCTCTCATCATTGATGTCCCCTCTCCCTTCCTCTCTGAAATCGATGAAAACATACTGGAAACCCCACCACGACGGGCCTTGGAGATGACGGAGACCGACCTGGCCCTGCGGCAGGTGGAAGAGCCACAGCCTCAGAGCTTCCGTCTCCTGTCCGAGGCCCCCGGGCTCGCATGCCGGCTGCCAGGACAAGACACCGTCACCTGCCCAGCACCCGCCCTGTCCCGGCAGAGGCCACACAGGCTGGCAGCGCCCCCCGTCCAGCGTCGGCGGCTGCTCAGCTGAGCTGGGCAGAAGAAGGGAGACCAGGGCCGCGGCTGGAGCCTGCGGACATCAACAAGTCGTTCCCTATCTTGGGACACACAGCGGCCTCCTGTGTCCTGCGGTGCCTGCCCAGGTGTGTGTCACTCCACACGGGCTGTTGACACCATGAGCAAGTGGCCCCCACTGACCCCCAAGTCTACAGTCCTCTTTTCCTAAAAGGTGGGGGACCGCTGGCATCACCTGGGCCTACAGAAGGCAACAGTGTCTTTCATGTGTGTATAAAGGACAGGAAAAGGCATGATTCCATTTGCCATGAAACTCCCATAAAACACTTACAAAATGGCCCAAGCCAGTGTGGCTCAGTAGATAGAGCATCGGCCTGCGGACCGAAGGGTCCCAAGTTCGATTCCGGTCAAGGGCACGTACCTCGGTTGCGGGCACATCCCAGGTCCGGGCCCTGGTTGGGGGGCGTGCAGGAGGCAACCAGTCAACCTGTTTCTCTCACACCGATGTTTCTCTCTGTCTTTCCCCCTCCCACTCTCTCTAAAAATCAGTGGTAAAGTATCCTCGGGTGAGGATTTAAAAAGAAAAAGAAAAACTTACAAAATGGAATTACTGAGTAACCAAGGAAAACACTACCAGCAAAAGGAGAGAGAGAGAGGAATTCTTAAAAATCGCTCCTCTGAGAATTTTCTGGCAAAGGGGAAGAGTTCTGTTACTTAATTCCTCAAATAAAATGACGAGAAAGCATTTGCGATGGGAAGGTGCTTACCGACGCCGTGCGGGGACCCTTGCTACGCAGCCGGGCTCTGCCGTCCTGCTGTGGCTGCCGAGCCCTCCGGCTTGTGCGGAACCCTCAGCCGCCCTTGCCAAGTGCAGTCGCAACGCCGGGCTCTTATGAGCCCTAATGTTTAATCTAATCTTGTGCGGAAAGTTAAACACGGCTGCTGGGAACTCACCTTGGTGCCGGGGGGGGGGGGGGGGGGGGGGGGCGCGTGGAGTGTTGGCATTGCGCAGAAGTGCCAGGTTCCCTCTCGGCCCCGTGACCCTGCTCCACCAGGACAATGCCTGGCACAGGGAGCCCCCCCATGGTACTCCCGAGGCAGCCGGGCAGAGGGCGAGCACCCCAGAGCGCTGAGACGGACGTGCTGTCCCTGGGTCGGGGGTGGGGGTCGACGAGGAGGCCAGAAGATTGGAGGCAAGTGCCCCTGTTCTTACCACCTCCCCGAAAGCCAGATGCTGCTGAAATTCCCCTCCCTGGTCAATTTCAAAGGCTTTGCAACAACACGGCATCTGATGAAATGGGAACTGGCCACAGGGAGGCGCTGCACGGAGGAAGGGGGACAAGTCCAGCAAAGCACAGGAAGACGCGAAAGAGCTGAGCAAACTATTTACTCAGAGGCCCTTCTCTGTGGTGTGGAGTCCGTGCACGGGCAGCGCGAGGCTTACCCAGAGCCACCCCTTGCCGGTGCTGGCCACCTGCGTCTCCCAGCCTCTGTGGTGTTAGTGTCGGGCAGTCGTCGCAGGCACAGAGGGGTCAGGCGGTCGGGTCAGGTGGAGGAAGAGCCAGGATTTGGATCTGATCCCTAAGGCGGCCGCAGGAGGTACACGCTGCGTAAAGGGAACTTGGCCTAACAGCTGGATTCCTGACAAAACGGTGCTTTGAACACTGAGGTCTGAAGTCCACTTGGGGGGAGAGGGGCGCCGGCCAGAGGAAGGTGGTTAGGATGTAACTGTCGACACGTTGTAGTAGCTAAGGCACCGGGTGCCATGCACACAAATGCCAGGGTCACGGGCACCCTGCACCAGCTCCTCGGGCACCGTTGTCCTGCTGGATCGCCTTTGCCGGACAAGATAAGGCAACCCAGCCAGAAAGGAAGGGTTTGAGGTCTAATCCACCGAGAGGGTCAAAAGGCCAGGGAATCCGCTGGGGAGACGGCGCCACCTGCTGGTGGGAGCGGGAACAGAGACCAATCTCCTCCTCCCAAAGCAGCCGGGCTGTTGAACTTCACGTCTGGAATCTCCCCTGTGAAGGCGAGGAGACCAGAGCCATGTGCAGGTGCGCACCGGGGAAGTAGAGGCAGAACCGGAAGGCGATACATCCTGGTGACAGACCGGGCGGTCCAGTTACCCAGCGACCCTGGTCCGTGGACCCGTCGTCTGTGAGACGGAGGGAACCCGCGCGCCCGCCTCATCGTAAGAATGAAATGAGGCGATGGCTGTAACGCAGAGCGCAGACCTGCACACCGCAGAGTCAGCGCCCCTACGCATCGCTGCTGCTTTCATTTTACAGGGAAACCAGCGAGAAGACATGGCAGTGAGAGGCCAGCGGGACCAGACCTCGCCAAGGAGAAGGTTCCAGAGCCTGGGCAAGAGCAGCTCCTTAATGGCTTATTTCGATTTTTTCCATTTATTTAAAAATATATATTTTAAATTTATTTCAGAGGGAGAGGGAGAGAGAGAGGAACATCAATGATACCAGGACGCCAGGACTCCAGCACGCCTGCACGCCAGCATGTCAGGGTGCCAGGACGCCAGGACGCCAGGGCCAACGGTCCCTTTGAGGATCCGATGGCAGCCCCCTCGCAGAGCTCCTCTGCCCACACAGGGACACGTCGGTTGCCCAGGGAGCCGCGCCTGCATGTGGACTTGAAATTGGATGTTAATCAGCTGGGTGTCCAGCGCCGACAAAGCCCCATGTTCCTCCCCAAGGGAAGGTCGTCCTCAGGCTGCGGTGCTGCTGTTCCGAGGGCCCTGCTGAGGGTGCAGCCGCAGGCCCGACCCTCGGAGAGCTCAGCTGCTGGGCCAGGTGGCAGGGCAGAGGGTGCGGCATCGTCTGCGGGGATCGCCACCTCGGTCACCGCCTCTTGGCCTCCAGCCGGTCCTGCGAGGAGACAGCCTGCAGTCTACCGACCCGGTCCCCACCGGTGACCCTGCGGTCTGCGCCCTGCACCCTCCGTCCCCCGCCCCCCGCCCCGCCTCCAACGCTGTTACATCACAGTTCAGGGGGTCCCGCTGCAGAGCTCGCACGTGATGATGATGGAGGTGGCCTTTGATGACCACGGAGTGAGCTGCAGTTACAGGCCTGTGCCAGGTTTTCTTTTTCACGGAGTTTAAGTAACTTTTTGTTTCCATTCTTACTTAGCTGTCTTCAAAGCTCGTCCCATACTCCTCAATGGCTCAGCGTCATCAGTCATAGGCACATGGGACTTGCAACCACAACAAGGTACACTACACACCTGCTAGAATCGCTAAATCTTTACCAGACTGACACGGAGCAATGGCGAGGCTGTGGGGTACCCGGAAGCTCCCCACACCGCCGTGGGTGGAACACGGTGCAGCCACGGGCTAACAGCTTCCTGGGAAGGTACCACAGGACCCCAGCTATCCACTGTGAGGCGTCTACCCAAGACAACTGGAAAAAGTGTGTTCACACAAAGACGTACGCATAAATGTTCGTAGCAGCGTTACTTGCAAGAGCTAAAAACTAGGAGTAACCTGATATCATTCAACAGGTAAAGGGGTAAGCAAACTGTGGTACAGCGATCCAACCGACTCTTCCTCGGCCACAGAAGGGAACAAACTAAGGATACCTGGAACAATGCGGATGGCTCTCACCCACGCCCCGGCCGGTGTGGCTCAGTGGGTTGGAACGTTGTCCTGTGCACTGGAGGGTCGCAGGTTTGATTCCCATGAGGCACATACCTAGGTTGCAGGTTCGATCCCCGGTTGGAGCATGTACAGGGGGCAACTGAGCAATATGTCTCTCTCATCTCTCTCTCTCTCTCTCTCTCTCTCTCTCTCTCTCTCTCTCCCCCTCCCTCTCTAAAATCAATTTTAAGAAGTCAGATGCAAAAGAGATTATACTCTATAATTCCATTTCTAGAAATTCCAGGAAGGACGAAAGTAATCAAAATCTATAATGATGGAAAGTAGATCAACTATTTCCTGTGGGGGAGGCGGGTTGAGAGAGAACTTTTTGGAGTAACTAACGCTTTTTCTACCTTAATTGTGGTGGTGGTTACCGGGGTGTATACATTTGTCAAAACTCATTGAACTGTACACTGAAAATGGGTACATGTGATTTCAGGTAAACGATTCCACAATAGAGCTGACCTCTTAAAAGTCCACTGTACACAGGTGACTTGTAAATTTAAATCTCCAGCCCCTTCCTCTTCAGACTCAAGTGTCCACATGCTCACCCGCCATTTCCACTGGGTACACAAATATAATGGAAACTACTCAGCTTTTTTTAAAAAGGAAATTCTGACATGTGACCACACGGATCGATCTTGAGGACTTTATGCTGAGTGAAACAAGCCGGTCACAGAAAGACAAATACCGCATGATCTGGTTATGTGCGCTGCCTAAAACAGTCCAATTCAGAGAATCAGAGAGGGAATGGTGGTTGCTGGGAGCTGGGGGAGGAGAAATGAGTTTCCAATCAACGGGCATAAACAGTTCAGTCCCGCAAGATGAATCAGCCCTAGGACCCACCTGCAACATTGTATCCATAATCAGCAACATTGTATCCATCATCAGCGTCATTGTGTCCATCATCAGCGTCATTGTGTCCATCACCAGCAACACTGTATCCCTCGTCGGTGCCGCTGTGCTGTGCAGACAAAGGATTTGCTTCAGGTGAGTGACCTGAAGGACAGAGCACAGCTGAGTGTCCAGAAAACGGGTGGCCAGGAACCTGCTGTCCCCTCCGAAGAGCTGATGACCATTTTCGAGTTGATGGTCCTTCGAGCCCCATGAGGCAGGGTGTTTACAAGAGGTTCCATCTGCCAGGGCCAGAGAAAGGCCATCTAGACCAGAGGGTGCGGTGTCCAAAACGACCACAGTGTGTCCCCACAGCGCCGTCAGGGCCTGGCTCCCAAAGCTGCGCAGAGCAGCGTCTGTTCTGGGTGCAGGATGACAAGGGCCTCCTCACCGCAGCTCCACGGCCACCAGCCCAGAGCAAGCCTTCAGGCCTACTTCCTTTTTTCCTTTTAATGGAATGAACTATTTTTAAATGTATTTTTAAATTTATTTCAGAGAGGAAGGGAGAGGGAGAGAGAGAGACAAACATCAATGATGAGAGAGAATCATGGGTCGGCTGCCTCCTGCACTGGGGATTGAGCCACAACCCGGGCCTGTGCCCTGACCAGGAATGGAACCATGACCTCCTGGTTCATAGGTCCATGCTCAACCACTGAGCCACACTGGCCGGACCAGGTATGAAGTTTTAGACGTGCTTTCTGGCCCAGCATCTCCCACGGCAGGCATGTCAGAGGCGCACTGGGAGCCGCGGAAGTCACAGCCGCACCCTTTGTGTCTGTGGCTCTGGGGGATGGAGTTTCCCATCTGAGAGGGAGCAGCCAGGCCCCGGCCGGTTTGGTTCAGTGGATAGAGTGTCGGACTGCGGACCAAAGGGTCCCGGGTTTGATTCCAGTCAAGGACACGTACCTCCTTCCAGCCCAGACCTAGTGGGGGCACGTGCAGGAGACAACTGATCGATGTGTCTCTCTCACATCGATGTCTCTGTCTTTCCCTCTCTCTCCCACTCTCTCTAACAATCAGTGGGAAAATATCCTCGGGTGAAGATGAACAAAATAAAAACAATACTGATAAGAGGGAGCAGCTGGCACCGTCCCCCTGGCCCGCACAGCTGTGGGCTGTGGTCCTGTCCAGCAGCACCGGGAACACTGGCTCCAGCACGGGGCTCCCATCAGCCACCACTGCTGGGCCAGCAGCGAGGTTCACCTGTCCTAGAGCCGGCAGCCGTCCGGCCCGGTAACACGCCTGCAAACTCGGTCAGGAACGTGCAAGGCCGCCCCACCTCTCACCCTGGCCTCGATCCATGAGGCTCCTCTGCAGACGCCATCCCATCCTCTCCCCCAG